TTTGGATCCTTTTGGGGGTCTGGGGTAGGGTCATCTACTTTAGGGGTTTAGGGTTAGGGGCTTTAGGGGGGGGACGGGTTGAGGGCTAAGGGTTTACGGCCCTAAAAATGCAAGGTTGTAGGGACTAGGGCGTAGTGATAGCGCGCAATGGAGTCTGCCCTATGTAGCATATTCTACAAAGCCCGATTAAGTACTAGCGATTTGACCTTGGGTCTCATCACCCCGTGGCAACCTCTCCTGCAACAAAGGTTAACATCTGCTCCCAGGCAAGCCGCTACCTGGACCCCCAAAGTAGGCAAAACAATGGCCCCAAACCTCTGAAAGTAGCCCAAGAAGGCCATTATTCTACATAATTGCTTTTGGACGTTCAGGTAACAGATCTACAGCTTTTCACCTGACAGTTTCTCGCCTTGAAGGCTAAGTAATAGACTAAACAATTATATATATCAGGATCTTTCCATACAACCCCTGTATGACTGCCGTATAAGTTACCGCCAAGACCGCACTGCCCGCACATACAATCCCTCAAACCACAATATAAACCCAGTTTGCACTTTTAGTTGTCCACGTTCTTCCCACTTGATTCTCCATTGCTCAACTTCCATATGCAAAGTACAAGGTCCAAAACGAGCCCCACGGTCGACATCTTTTTGAAGTCGATTTGAGGTAGCCTATACCCCAATGATACACAAGAATTTGGAACCCAACAACATTCTGTTCCCCCACTTCTTGGGGGGTGGCTTCATAATCAGAACCCGAATCAAGCCCTAATAACCCAACAAGTCCTTCAATCCCGATGCACCAAATAAATGAGATATACAACCCCTGAACACATCCTGTGGCTCCTTCTTCCGGCCCTTGATGAGATCTGCAAGTTCGCCGAGGGGGCCAAGGTCCTCATCGTCGTCCGCAGCCTGCGAAATTGCTCTCCGTCTATGTCTTAAGGGGCGTGTTAGGATTAAGGGCTCAGAATTGAAGGTTTTAGGGTTGGTTTAGGGTCAGGGAGGATTTGCTCCAATGACTAGACTTGCTTGCATGAATGGTTACACTCAGAATTGGGTGGGGGGGGGTGGAATACTCCTGCAATTATGCGCAAAGAATGTGTGCGAATACTTCTGAGACCTATCATCTACGCACCACCAGTCAGTCACACGGGTGGTCTCTTGGAGGGTCTTCAACACGGATGCATCGCCTGCCAACAGCAACAGCCTATGGTATACGTTATGCGGGCGCTTCATTCCGCTTGATTGCCTACAGTATCCAAAACCAGCCTACCGGAATGTGCTTGCAATCAGCGTTGCAATGCTATGACCGCACACAGCAAGGCAGCGTGGTGTTCAGAGATAACAGTAGGCTCTCAAATCCACACGCTCCTGAAGAACTCAGGGTAGGCAGCAAACACTAGCAACAAAAGCTAGAACGTGCAAATGGCAGTCGTCGCAGGTCCACAGACGAAGTAAAGCCTATCACCCTAGCCACTAGTGCATAACTTTTGGGGGCTTGTAGGGAACAAGGGAATATACTATGATATAGGGGTATTTACCTTATACCCTACCAGCCGCCAGTAAGCAAATTTACCATGGAAGTGCGATTGCGACTGCAGCTGTCGGCAGAAGAAAGCGCAATCCTAGAAGCCCCTGCACAGCAAAACAAGCCTAACCCGCACCCGCAGCATTGGACATAGCACAAGTTTCCAATGTCGCTACCTGGACATCTTTGTGCCAGAGTTACCGCGGTTGTTGCACTCTCTTTCGTTTTAGCTCAGGACATATACTTTTGACGCTGGCAGATGCGTTCTCAGACGTTTGCAGAACCTCACAACCACGTTGAGTGGGTACCTAACGTACCTGCCGTCTGTAGAACTCAAGGAACTTCGGATAGTACATGTTTTCTGCTATCGAAGCAGGATGCACCCTGCGTAGTGTCCGAAGCCCAGCGGACGTGAATTTCTCCTATAACGCCTCCAAGCAAGTTTTGAAGATCCCAAGGTCTTCTCCCATTGTGACTTCTAGCTGCGGATTGCAAGCCTCAAGATCAGCATCTGCTTTGCTCTTTCGCTGCTTCTCCTCAAAACAGGGTGAGATTAGGGTTGGAGCAACAGTCTAAAAGTAAAGAGCAAAACTTGTGTGAAACCTGCTCCTTAACCCAACTCACCGTCTAGTACTACTCGTAGCTACTGCCGCTCAAGTCTAAGTTCCTACGAAGCTTCACGCACGTGTGCTGTAAGCGCAGGGCTAAGGGAGTGAGAAGGGCTGTAAGTGTTACAGGCCATGGGAGACACCCTGCCTGCCTGTAGATTACCTGTGCAACAGAATTTGATCTTTTGGGTCTCCTTTTGAAAGCCACGTCAGTCTGTAAGCTTCATCCCCAAAGCCCCAAGCGAGGAGGAAGGAGCATGGGGAATTCAATGGCCTCCAGATTTCCAGAAACTCCATGCAACACGTGAGAAACCTCTGGAGGAGCCTTTCACAGAATTCCAAGATTCCTCCGAAAATTCTTCCCAATCGAAGAGCTCACAGGGGTTCATAGCTCACGATTCCTCACCCGCTCCTGTCACGCCAGCTGGTAGAACCCTGCATCCTAATGAGCCCAGGAAACCCATAATTAGCTTTCCCTAGATCCCATAGCTGCAGAAGCTTCATAGATCAAACTTTTACGAACCACGAAAACCATGAAACGACAAGGATCCCCTGACCCTAGACACTACACTTTATCCAGACCCTTACAACTTAAAACGCTCAACCCAAAAGCCCTCAGCCCTAAACCCCCCAAAAACAAGCCCTAAGCCATTGCACGCCTTCCCACAACTCTAAAACCATGAGCGCCAAGCCATCCCTACACAATGCCTGAGGGGTTCCCCTTGCCATCTCTCCGTATACATGTTTAAGTCAAACACCCTAAATGAACCAGGTGATTTTCTTGGCTACTCCAATGAAATTCTGGTCTTTATGGAATACGCACTGTACCAGAAAGTGAATATGATCGTACTTATCTGTACCTAGATATGATTTCATTTATATAAACATATACGTTATGCATACCTTGAAAGATCCTTGCAGGGACTCTATATTACCCACATGCCCTTGTTCGCCTCAGCCGCGCGTTGCGCAAGCTCCCGCTTCGACGGAGCCCGGCTCAGAACATCCGCGATGGCCTTCGAAGGGTTTTGGGAGTTAGAGGCTTAGGGTTCAAGGCCCCATGAAGCTAGATGTCTATGGGTTTAGGATATTATGGAGTAGGAGGTTTTAGGGTCCAGAGGATTGGAGATTTAGAGGCTTAGGGTTTGGGCTTCAGGGTTTGGGATTTAGGGTTTAGGATTTAGGTTTTGGGGTGGTTGAGGGGACACGCAATTTTTAGGATTTGGGTTTGAGGGATTAGCGGTTTGACATTACTTGGAGTGAAGGTTCGAGGAGTTTGAATTTAAGGATTAGGCCTCTGCGGGTTCAGGAATTAGGTCGTGCGGGGTCAGAGGTGAGGTTCAGAGTAGTGTCGGGTTTAAGGCTTCGCGTGTAGACAAAGCTGTTAAGGTCGGCGAGCGCATAAACTTGAATGTCATCAGGAAATCCTACACCTGATTCACCCGAGGGTTTAGGGTTTAGGATTTAGGGTTTCGGGCTTAGAGACATCCGATTCACCCAATGCATCTCGGAAAATACCTCTGCATGGGCATTTGCAAAATTCGGGTGCCTTTCTTTTGGGAGTCATACGATGCGGAATACAGTCTATTGGCTCTTACATGGGTCCATCGGCATCCACTAATTTGATTTCTAGAGCCCGAATTGTACGGTAGCCGTCAAATCATTCCGATCGAATCGCTACAGTACTTTGACATAGCGCTGGAACCTTCGCTCGGGGCACTAAACCATAATCCCTTGGACTAGGCTGCATTTATCACTCATGCTGGTATAACCCCTGAAGATTTCATAACTTATTGCGCAACTTTCTCAGCCAGATCAACAATGGATTGTTCTTTGTAGGCTCTGGCCTTGGGGCTTTCTAGGGTTTAGGATTTATAGGGTTTACACGAATTGTGTAGGGTTCAGGTCCCGAGTGTTGTGCGGATTTTTACGGAGATCTTGCTTTCACTTTAAAGAAATTGTACGATCTAGGCTTGATAGTCTGGGTATAGGGTTTGGGGTTTAGGGTTTAGATTTTGAACTGAGGTTGTGAGGGCAGCTATCTTCAGGGCTCACGAGCCAGGATAGAAGGCTAAAGGGGAGAACTGGAGCTGGGAGAGCACTCTGACTAAGATTACCTTCAACATCTTAAGCCACACATTTGACTAAACAGGACCTGTATTATGTGGCACATCTGCCCACTTCTTCAGGAAGGAGGGCTGCTGAACTTCGAAGCTTAACCAGCAAATTTGTGTTGTCTAACGGGCGCTTGAATCCGACATTTTGGATTGGCTTTCAAACGCATTCACAACTTTCATGGTAGAATAAATGAATCTCAAGCCCTGAATCTCAAGCCCTAAATCTCAAACCGCGCAACTCGCAGACCAGAAACAGCAAAACCTAGCGCCTCTGTTTCCCTTAAGCCTGCACTGGCAGAGTATGCTGTGTCTGGCCAAGTGTCGAACCCGAGGTCTCCCATTTTGTGCTCCAGAATACCAGGATCTAATCTGTAGCAAAACATATTAAGAAACACACGTGTTCTGCGCAATAGTAAGTTCATGAAACTGCATGGGTCGCCCTGCGCAATCCACCCTATTGCCCTGAGCTCCAGCTTTACATCCAAAAAATGAAGGGTCAACATGCGCACCTTGAACTTGTTGGTGGCAGCATAGCTGGCAGCGGTGTGCCCATAGCTATTTTGGATGTCCTTTCAGGAGTTTCAGGCTTACCCACATGGTTCAATGCTTTGGGGCTTGGGGGGGCTTACTCTTTTAGGGAAAATGGAACCCCTACTAATCTCCCAGTCTTCCCGATATAATAGCGGGCCTATATTTTCCGGCTTCTATTTTGGTATACCTTGGAGAGTCAGGGTAAGGCTTCTGAAGCAGTCATCTGACCGTTTCTACAGTGAATTTCGAAATACATTCTCAAAAGGCAAATTCAATAGTCAAGGTCTATCGACTGTCCAGATCTCCTTGTTTGAAGATTCAAGGCGAATGTTCCGTAGCGTGCCGGATTCACGCTGCGGATGAAGCTTCCAGTCATTTTGCAGCCAGCTCCCACTGGGGACCCGGAGACTTCAGGAAATACGGACGAACATCCCAAAGCTCATAGACAGCTCATAGAAATCCACGTCTTTGGGGACCCCATAGCTAGAAGAAATTTTCGGTGAGCCAGACCTTTGACAAATACCCCAGCTAAACCTCAATAGCCTTGGATCCCTATGCAGGCCTTCCGCGGATTTGCTTTCAGCAGCTCGTGAACCTTGGAAGGGCAAAGGAAAGGCGTCAAGTGCCACTGAAGGACAGTCTACCTAGCATGCTGCAAGGCACCGTGACGCGTGCTCGTTTTTTCTGGTTCCTAGTGGGGAATATTGGAATATAATATCCCTACATTGCAAAGCCCTAGATATTACAATCCCATATTCCCGAATAACAACCAGCAAGCGTAAGTTCTAGTAAGGGTTCTGGGATACCCCCATGAGCCTTGAGGAAATGGCCAGCAAAAGCATACGTGCTTCTGAGGCAGAAGGCGCAGCTCAAGTGGCCGTGGTAGGCGGCGTAGTGCAACGCCTGCGAGAGACGTTTTTTGGTTGTCCTGAATACGTTTGACTGTCGAGGGTTAAAACCATGGACATTTAGTATGGGCCCTCCACCCTGGGATCCTGATATGCCTACAATCTATCCCGTATGTACCCCTCAAGATCCTAGAACCTCCCTAGAACGCCTCAGGCGGGGTCACACATCTAACCTGAGCCTGAAGGAGTCCCCCAGAAGCTTTAGGAGTTTCCATGGTTGGGTCACGAGCGGGTTGCTAGCAAGTGGGTACCCTGATGTAAGGCTCATATAAGGCTTGTATAAGGGTCATGGGGCTTTATGAAATCTATTTCGGCCCATAATAGTAACCACCTGAGAACTAACCACCTGGAGCTCCCCTTGACTTTGGGCTACTTTAAGGATCCCTTCCTCCATTCCTTTCCAGCAAGCAGTAAGCAAAGGCGTACCTTAAGCATGCTTCTTCTTGGACCTGGATTTCTACATTGTGCATGTAGCCCAGGCTCTTGATTTTGGAGCAACCTAAGCCCTAAACCCTATTAGCCTAAACCCTTAACCTCAAACTGTAAACTACCCCAAGCCTCAGAAGTTCATAAACCCCAAACCCTAGTAGCCTACGCCCTACACATGAATGCGTAAACTGCCCGAAACCTCGGAAGTTCATTGGTAGTTGCTGCATACAACATGCTTTGCAGACGCTCGTGTAGTGCCCACGCCAAAGGCAACTCCCCGCCCCCCCCCCCCCCCCCCCCCCCCCCCCCCACCCCCCCCCCC